AGTATCAGTCTGTTCATCCTTGCATCAATTTTGTCCTTGAGTGATTTTTTAATTTCGTTTTTTCATTTATTCCGAATTTCTTAATTTCACGATCCGTTCGGTCTTCCCTCAAACTCAAAATAAGTTACCTTGTCATTAAAGTGTATGACTGTGTATCAATGACTTAATGAAGAAAGAATATTGACAGTTTAATCTGAAAGGAAATAAAAAAACCTGGATTTGTATTCAGGCTAGAAAGCGATTTAGTCGCGTTCTATGAACTTTAACATTTTCATGGTTCCTTAGCTTCTTCAGTAGAGATACAGGGTGTCCCAATACCCATCTGATTTACATGGTTCCTTAGCTTCTTCAGTATAGATACAGGGTGTCCCAATACCCATCAAATATACATGGTTTCTTAGCTTCTTCAGTATAGATACAGGGTGTTTCAATACCCATGAAATAACTTTGAAGATAATAATTTTCAATTTTCATTTTAGGTTAAACTCAACAAAATCTATCTTATTATTGATCAACGCTTTTAAAGACTGGAAAAATTATAGTACTTTCATAAAAGATAATTAGGACTGAAGCCGTATTCAGTCTTTTAACATAATACCGCTTTCTTTGTATTGACTGATAGGGACTGTAAATCAAATATCAAATGACACTTATTTCTAAATAGTGGGTTTTCTGATTCACAGCGGTACCCTTTGAATATATAATTAGCAAAGAGGAAATTATTGTTGTTTTTCAATCTTAAAACTTTTGGATTTTAGTTTATGTCTTCATTGTCACTGCAGCATAAAGTCGGAAGTCACTTTCATAAGAAAAACAATTGTATGTAATAAAATAAGGATAATTCATTGATCCTCGACCTGGCAAAGTATTAATGGTACTGTTTTGAATCGGCAAGTCACTTTATAAATGGAGATTCTCTTGAAATTATGTTTACAGTATCTTTAAACCAAAATATCGTAGACCAGCTAAATACTAAATCCCTAGAAGTTGGCATAAAGTTAGTTCAAAAGAATAAAATTAAACATAAAAAACATTTTTGTTTAAAGTCTTACATTTAATTCATTACTTTAAGTAAAGTCTAAATAAGACAGATTTGTGAAAAATATTCTTATAAATGTTTAACTTTTTGTACACACGTTGACTGAATAGAATTGGCTGTAGAATTACTAGGAATAGCTCATGCCAACTGCATTAATTATATGCCTGTAATAGGAGTGCTCACTGCTCACTGTTCAAGCATTTCATAAACATTCGAAAATTGTCAATAAAGGGACTGTGTTAGAAAACTGTCAATAAAGGGACTGTGTTAGAAAATTGTCAATAAAGGGACTGTATTATTAAAAAATTGTCATTAAAGGAACTGTGTTAGAAAACTGTCAATAAAGGGACTGTATTATTAGAAAATTGTCAATAAAGGGACTGTGCTATTAGAAAATTGTCAATAAAGGGACTGTATTATTAAAAAATTGTCAATAAAGGGACTGTATTATTAGAAAATTGTCAATAAAGGGACTGTAATATTAGAAAATTGTCAATAAATGGACTGTATTAGAAAATTGTCAATAAAGGGAATGTATTGTCAAAAATTGTCAATAAAAAAAACCCCGGATATTTTTCGATTTTTCCTTGACTTTTTTTTACAATATACACCCATAAAATTGTACGCTGGTATACAATTTTAACAATATAATGAAGACGACTTTTTAAATTAAGTTTTAATTGTCAAGAAGCTTTTTCAAATAAAAGTTTACAAGTAGTAAAAATAGAGAGAAGCATTTTATAATGGGGGGGGGGGGAATTTTATCTACAAAAATCGAAGGGGGAGCTATGGACATAAAACAACGGCGGTATAAAATTATTTTTCTTTCAAATAATTTTGTTGTCATGAATACTAATGTAAATATCAAAGATATGATATTGGTTTATGCATCAAAGAACACATCTTTAAACATGATTAATAAAATGCTTAATTAATACGGAAATTAAATATTAATTTAAACAAAACAATAAAATAAAAAGTAAAAAAGTAAAGTAGTTAAGTAGTAGAAAAGTAAAGAAGTAAAGAAATAAAATAATTAAGTATTAAAGAAGTAAAGAAGTAAAGAAGTAAAGAAGTAAAGAAGTAAAGAAGTAAAGTAGTAAAGTGAAGTAATAAAGTGAAGTAGTAAAGTGAAGTAGTAAAGTGAATTAGTAAAGTGAAGTAGTAAAGTGAATTAGTAAAGTGAAGTAGTAAAGTGAAGTAATAAAGTGAATTAGTAAAGTGAAGTAGTAAAGTGAAGTAATAAAGTGAAGTAGTAAAGTGAAGTAATAAAGTAAAGTAGTAAAGTGAAGTAGTAAAGGGAAGTAATAAAGTGAAGTAGTAAAGTGAAGTAGTAAAGTGAAGTAGTAAAGTGAAGTAGTAAAGTGAAGTAGTAAAGTGAAGTAGTAAAGTGAAGTAGTAAAGTGAAGTAATAAAGTGAAGTAATAAAGTAAAGTAGTAAAGTGCAGTAGTAAAGTGAAGTACTCTAAAGTGAAGTAGTAAAGTGAAGTAGTAAAGTGAAGTAGTAAAGTGAAGTAGTAAAGGAATCTAAACGCCCCTGTAAGTATAGACATGGAATCCAAGCATGAAGTATTCAAATGACCTTTATTCCAAAACCCAAGTCTTGGTTAATCACAAAACAATTAAACTCAAGCTATCTAGTAGCCACTCCTCCCCGCCAACATTACAGGGTGTCCCAATATATACAGTATACAGGGTGTCCATAAATATAAAATATTCAGGCTGTCCTGATACATACATAATACAGGGTGTCCCAATATATACAATATACAGGTGTCCCAATGTATGCCATAACAGGGTGTCCGTAAATATATACAATTTACAGGGTGTCCCAATATATACAATATAAAGAGTTTCCCAATGTATGCAATAATAGGGTGTCCCAATATATATACAGTATAGAAGGTGGTCCAATATATACAATTTACAAGGTGTCCATATATATAAAATATTCAGGCTGTCCCGATACATACATTATACAGGGTGTCCCAATACAATATAAGGGTTTCCCAATGTATACATTGTACAGGTTGTCCCAAATATAAACTTTATCTTATTTAATCTATGTGTCAATTTCTAGTGAATATAACTTATTTTGGATGTTCTTTAATTTATTAGTTTTGTACCTTTAAACGGATATATTTAGATATATTAAGGGGCCTGTAACAGCTTAGTTTCACCTAGAATATTCATAAGCTCAATAAGAAATGTATCTAAATTAAAATCCCATAAGTCCGCCATTGCCAAGGGGAAGAACGTGTTGACGCAAGGGGGGGGGAGGGGAGTTGTGATGGTTTGCACATTTTTATTTTGATAGAGTATTGCATGATTGATCATGAGTTGATAATGTGGATGTTGATCATAGAATATCAGTTTTTGTTTTCTCCTAAATTGGAAGACTCTTTACAGAGCAATATCCCCCCCCTACACTACCAGATAAGGCCCTGTTCATTAACGTTTTAAAATTATAATTTTAGTGGATTTAATGATTTTGGTACTTTTGATTTGAATAGAAAATAGTCATCGATCAAGTCAGAAGAGGACATGTAGTAAATACCCTACTCCAGAATGGTTTCTCTAACCCGTATCTATCCAGGTACAATCAAGGTTGACTATCATTATGTCAACCAGGACACAAACTCTTAATCGATCAACGTCACTACAACTGGGGTGATCTTGTTAGCTATCGATGTCAACATGGACACTAGCAATTAACTATCAATGTCTCAACTAGGACACGGTCTGGAGCTATCAATGCCTCAACTAGGACACGATCTTGTAAACTATCAATGTCTCAACTAGGACATGATCTCGTAAACTATCAATGTCTCAACTACTACAGGGTCTTGAGCTATCAATGCCTTAACTAGGATACGATCTTGAACTATCAATGTCTCAACTAGGACACGTTCTTGTAAACTATCAATGCCTCAACAAGGACTCGATCTTTAACTCATTCATAAGAACAAGGATGCCATTACTCTCTTGTGGCAATCAGTACGGAGTCTCTATATCAACTAGCTATATTTCTTCAGTCTAGATTATAATTGGATCTTTACCAACGAGGTTATAGTATATAAAGTGATGATGTACACTAATCCTTTACTAATTGTATAGGCCATGTACTTCACTTCCAAAGGTCAATCTGTATATTATAGTACTCAGGTGTGATTTCTGAAAATATTTAAATGGAGAATTTGTTTTCCATGCAACTATTAAAATCCACTACTACTTTATCCTGTGCAGGATTCCATTTTCACCGGAAAAAACTATTACAGTCTTTTACAGAGCAATATTTCAACGTTAATAAACGGTTCTGAGAAAACTGAGTGAAATTCAATTGTTACAAAACCTCCCCATGCACATGTACTCTGAAAGCGTACTGCATATTTGATATTTGTACTGTATGAGTAGGCCATAATCTCTTAACATCCTTTATCAGTAAACTATCCCAAGTGTACACTCAGGCCAATTCACACGGAGAGGTAGCTAAGATTCAGCCCGCCTGGTCTTCACAGCGTAATTACAAGTTATGCACTGTTATGTTTAACGTAGTTAAGCAATCACATTATGGGCATGACGGAGTTATACATATCAACATATATTAATTGGGTTAATCACAATTTATGATTTACGTATTTATGAATGGGCAAATTTAGCTATATGGACAATGCAGGTATTAATCCCTTTAATTTTAGTTGAGATCGCTCAAGAAAAAATAAATTTGATTTGACTTTTAGGGTAAAATGGAACCAAAAAACTTTAAGATACGAGCCAATTTTTTCGTCCTATCAATATAATCTTTGGAGATGCATACACTTAATCGTAAAAATCTTTAATCTCATTTGATCAAAGCCCAGATTTTTCTCTTTCAATTTATCTATTTCAGTTTTAAATTGTAACATTCTTTTATTTATATTTATTATCTAATAACAAACATTCATATTTTGAAATACATAGAACTCCATCAACCTATTTAATCCAGTATTAGTGGATATTACCAGTGGATCTAGTATTAGTGGATATCTCTAGTGGATTTTATATTAGCGAATATTTCTAGTGGATATAATATTAGTGGATATCTCTAGTGGATCTAATATTAGTGGATATCTCTTGTGAATCTAGTATTAGTAGATATCTCCAGTAGATCTAATATTAGTGGATATCTCTAGTAGATCTAATATTAGGGGATATCTCTAGTGAATCTAGTATCAGTGGATATCTCTAGTGGATCTAATATTAGTGGATATCTCAAGTGAATATAATATTAGTGGATATTTCTAGTGGATCTAGTATCAGTGGATATCTCTAGTGGATATGATATTAGTAGATAGCTTTAGTGGATTTAATATTAGTGGATATCTCTAGTGGATCTAGTATTAGTGGATATCTATAGTGAATCTAGTATCAGTGGATATCTCAAATGATTATAATAATTGTGAATATCTCTGGTGGATCTAGTATTAGTGGATATCTCTTGAATCTAATATCAGTGGATCTCTATTGGATCTAGTATTAGTGGATAGCTGTAGTGGATCTAATAAAAGTGGATAGCTCTAGTGGATCTAGTATTAGTGGATAGCTCTAGTGGATCTAATATAAGCGGATAGCTCTAGTGGATCTAGTATTAGTGGATAGCTCTAGTGGATCTAATATAAGCGGATAGCTTTAGTGGATAGCTCTAGTGGATGTAGTATTAGTAGATAGCTCTAGTGGATCTAATATAAGTGGATATCTCTAATGGATCTAATATAAGTGGATATCTCTAATAGTTCTAATATTTGTGGATATCTCTAGTAAACCAACAATAGTGGATATCTGTAGTGGATATGAAATTAGGATATAAGCTGAAAAATCAAAAGGATATCACCATTCATCATTAATTTACCGCCGATATCAACGTAATTTTAAGTTATCAGCTAATTAGTTACAGGATAATTGCTGATTATTAATAAATTAATATAATCAGCACTCAGAAGGAAATCAGCTGTGAATCCCAGGAAGAGTCGAAATAATCTTAATTTTAAATAAATTGATTTATTCTCTCATCTTACAATTTTAGCAGGGATTAGCAACGAACGGCAAGTTCTTGAAAATTATTTTGAAATCGTTCTCGAAAGGAAATAGTCGGTATTAAAAACATACTTACGCAAAATAAAAAAAAAAATATTAAACTAACCGTTCAGGAACAACTTGAAAAAAGTCTGAACGTGGCCAGCCCTAATTTTTTTACCCCTAAAGCCCGGGATGGATAAGATGTACTTGATATATGTAAAGCCTAAATCTTATGCCTTGATTTAAAAGTATGAAATATGAATGAAAAATTTGGATAGATTAGCTAATTTTCTGAAAGTCATATATTTTTTTTAAACAAAAAGTGTTTTTAATTCTTTTTTAAGCTTCTACATTATTACATAGTAGATAACTTTTTCATTAAAGTCAAGAAGTTTCAAGGGCCTACAAATTTGTCTTTTCAAACAAAATCTGTGTTTGCTAATCATTTATAATATCGGTTACACTTCAGTAGCATTGTAACCAGTTTCATTTTCTACAGGACTAGTTTAATATTCATTAAATTATTCAATAGGTCAAACAAATGCAGCTGTTCATAGTACGCACATTTTAAAGTACTAAATAAGACTTTACACATTCCTAACCCTATATTTTAAACAATAAAACAGCCAAGTACGGTCTAATTTTAGGGAGATAAAGAATTTGTCTTACTTTTGCTGTTTGTTAGAAATACTATGGGAAAAAATGTTATCTTAACAAAATTGGGCTATAAACGTGTATTACAAATTAAGGTGTGGTTAGGGGTGAACACCCTTTGATATTTCACTTCAGACAAGTTAAATATCTAGATAAATCAAATAAATCTTTCTATTTTCTATATTTTTAAACTTACGCTTTATAATAAGTCGCAGTTCCTTTCGGATCTTGATGCAACATTTAAATGCCAAGCAGAAGTAAAACAAGATTAATGAAAAAATCTGTTTCCAAGCCAGTTCGGAAAATCTAGAAATTCATCATCATAAATATTTTAAGATTTTTCTCCAATTTTCTCGCTCAGCTGATTTGAAAAAGGGATTGGCATTTTTTTATCCATTAAATTGTTTAGGTGTAAAATTTCGTTAGGTTTTGATTATCATGATTCAACAGAGTTCAGAAATAAATAAATATAAAAGAAAACTGAAGAAAAAAAGGAATTGCTATTCATAGCCTGTATGAGTCAATCATCGTTTTCCAGCTCCGATCCCCCTGATTGGGCAATACAGGGGACATCCCCTCAACCCTCCCAAGCCTCCAGGTCCAGCTGTACCCCCTGGGTGTTCCTCCTGGAGCAAGGAATTGGAGCAACTCCTTCAAACTATGAGAAAACTCCATCAGGTCCTGGAAACAATAAAGGACTCCCAAAATATTGGCTCCCAAGGGAAGAAAGTTTTCACTGGTTTGAAAATGTTCGTATAGACTCAGAAAGCACGATCGTGGACCAAGCAGGAAAATGTTTAGCACCAAATAGAGTTTCCTTCTTTTGCTTAAATCTAACAGATGGAACAGGACGGAGGTTTTGGAAATTAACAGTTTTACCTTTCATTTAATAGTTCTTATTAAGTAATGAGTAACATAAACGTCAGATCAAATTTAACAAGCACCCATTGATTCCTTATTGTTTAAATGGTTTAATATTTGTAAAAACTGCTAAGCATTTCTACTAAAGGGACTGACATTGTTTTTCAAGTAACGACCCAATCAGAGAGTTGAATGCCAGATTTACAATGGTGTTCTATACAGTTTACATATTTACGCACAGTTAAACCCTAAATGAGCCACACATCGAAAGAATTTATCAAATGTCGTCTCGGCATTTTTTCAATGGGTTTTATACTATTTTACTGTTCAGACGACGATTTAAATCAGCATACAATTTTCTACAAATGTAGGGTCACTTTAAAAGTTTTATTATTCCGATCATTTGAGAAATCTAGCTAAGCAATTAACTGATTAGAAGAGAATGAGGAAGTATTCTATTTACCCCGTCCAAGAATCCAACCTAAAATCCAGCCTCAAGCTAGCAGAGCTCCCCCTAGAATCCAACCTCAAGCTAGTAGAGCTCACCCTAGAATCCAACCTCAATCTAGTAAAGCTCACCCTAGAATCCAACCTCAAGCTAGTAAAGCTCCCCCTAGAATCCTACCTCAAGCTAGTAGAGCTCCCCCTAGAATCCAACCTCAAGCTAGTAGAGCTATGTCGACACCAAGAAGAACTCCATTATTTATCAACAAGGATAAAATCATCCAGAACTTTGGATCTATTTCAACATCAATATCTACACAAGCAGTTTTTTCTCAGTATGGTAGTACAGACCTCGTGAATGAAATATCTCATGGCGAGGAGACTGAAACGAATAACACTAGGGAATTTAAAATAATCAAAATTTAAATAAAACATACTTTATTCCCATGACTAATTTAGGATTAAAAGCAAAAATTTAAAATCTAGTAAAACCAGTTTGAAAAATCTAATTTATTCTATTTTAAACTAAAATCTATAGAACCAACAGTATTGAAGTTCTACCAAGAAACTCCGAAGGTCAAACACTCAAGAATATTACTCACTCATTCCACACATTGCATGACACTAAACTGTACTTACCCCATTCAAGAAGAGAAAGTGAGTCACCCTTACATCACAGCAAATTGTCAGTTTTAGAATTAGATTCAGTTAACATAAGCACTTCTAGTAAGGTGGGAGTACAGGAAGGTTTCAGTGATGAAATTAAAATCCAAGATCAAGTGAATCATTTTCAAACCATGGTCGAACTGAAAAATAAATCTGCGAAACAAAGATTTCGGTCCGCTTCAGATTCTGGAAACTATCCCGATTATCTTCGTGATGATGATCTTTTGAGAAGATCGCCATCTCTCCCTGTTTTTCCAATAACAGATGAAAAATGTGATGAAGATGAATACTCAAAAATACAGAGAATCCCTCCATTGGACACCTTGGACAAACCTTGTAAATCTTCAGTTACGATTGATGAGGATGAAGATAGTGTGAGCTGGGAGGAGACAATATCTCGTAGATCCTCAGCAGCCCAACTCTGCCAAGATGTAGAATATTTCTATAACGAGGGTGGACTAGGGAATGGGACTAAAACACCGCGAATACTGATTTCTCGAGTGGGTTCATCAAGATGGGAAACTTCACTGGACAACGAACTGGAAAAAGAACGTGTAAAAAAATATAAAAAGAAGCAGAAAAGAAAATATTCAGGAAACATTGAGTTAACTTTTTTAATAATTTTAAAGCTAAAATTAATAAGAAGTTGTCTTTAAAGTCTCATCCTTTGTGGGTAAACATATTTGAACTTAAGTAAATAAAGAAGTTATTTCGAGCGAACCTCATTTAAACAAGTATCTGATTCACAATGGTACTCTTTGAACCTCTATTTGAGGTTCAATATCTGATTCACAATGGTACTCTTTGAACCTCTATTTGAGGTTCAATATCTGATTCACAATGGTACTCTTTGAACCTCTATTTGAGGTTCAATATCTGATTCACAATGGTACTCTTTGAACCTCTATTTGAGGTTCAAATCTGATTCACAATGGTACTCTTTGAACCTCTATTTCTGATTCACAATGGTACTCTTTGAACCTCTATTTGAGGTTCAATATCTGATTCACAATGGTACTCTTTGAACCTCTATTTCTGATTCAATGAAGAAGATATCATCATTTTTCTCTAATATTTGAATTCTGTTACAATTCTTAATTGTCTGTACAGCAAATCTGAAAGACAAGAGAAACCAAAATGAGATAAAATAAAATATAGAAATCTTATTTTTCAACAGGAGGATCACTTGAAATGGCGTCATTCATTAATCCCTTTTAATCCAACATCTTGAAAACTAAAAATATTAATCAGAAATAATCAGAATCAGTTTCAGCCATATTATAAAAACTACCGTCCTCAAAACTACAAATAATTTTCTGAAATATTGTCGTTGTCGTCGTAACCATCAATACAAGGAAACAATGAGAAGCTGCCAATTAACAACTTTTCCCTCAATTTCAAGTAACAGCTTCTCTCTCAATTTTAAGTAACAGCTTCTCTCTCAATTTCAAGTTACAGCTTCTCTCAATTTCAATTAACAACTTCTCTCTCAATTTCAAGTAACAGCTTCTCTCTCAATTTCAAGTTACAGCTTCTCTTAATTTCAATTAACAACTTCTCNCAAGGGGGGGGGAGGGGAGTTGTGATGGTTTGCACATTTTTATTTTGATAGAGTATTGCATGATTGATCATGAGTTTGGTTTTCACTTTTTTCTTTGATAAAGTTGAGTATGCATTGATCATGAGTTGATCATGAGTTGATCATGCATTGATCATGAGTTGATAATGTGGATGTTGATCATAGAATATCAGTTTTTGTTTTCTCCTAAATTGGAAGACTCTAAATTAGTATCATACAAGAAACAAACTCGTAGTCGTAACTTATTTGAAATGTAATTATGGAAATGTAATTATATTTAGTGTAATTATAGGAAATGTAATTATATAAAGTGTAATTATATTAAGTGTAATAATAAGACATGTAATTATAGGAAATGTAATTGTATAAAGTGTAATTATAGGAAATGTAATTATAGGAAATGTAATTATATTCAGTGTAATTATATTAAGTGTAATAATAAGACATGTAATTATAGGAAATGTAATTGTATAAAGTGTAATTATAGGAAATGTAATTATATAAAGTGTAATTATGTTAAGTGTAATTATAGGAAATGTATACAGGAAGTGTAATTATATCAAGTGTAATTATAGGAAATGTTATTATAGGTGTGTAATTATATAAAGTGTAATTATAGGAAATGTAATTATATTAAGTGTAACTATATGAAATGTAACTGAGCAATCATAATTCAATATCTATACTTATTCGATGAAAATAATTATAGTAAAAAAAAGTTTTTTATCAGAGATTTTAAATATGCATACATACATTATAACTTATATTTATTTTACAAATAATAGACATTATGTATTTTTTCATGAAAGGGACTGTAAGCGTAATTTCAAGTAACCCTCCATGCTTTGATGCAATGCCCAATTCACAAAAGTACCCTTGAAAGCTTTGTCTGATCCAGAATGAATTAAATAGCAATGTTTTTGTTTCTTTAAATTGATTATTTTTATTTGCTATTGTTATCAGAAATTATTTACTCTTCAGTCGGAAAAACGATTGTATCTTCCATATTTTTGATAAGATTAAGGTTTCAATGGTATCTTTGTAAATCGGGCATTGCCATCTTTGCATAAAGGATAACTCTATAAATTACGCTTACAGTCCCTTTAGGTTACTTTGCTAAATGTAAAAATATTGACCACTAGCACTCCTTTAAAGTAAATTACTAATTGATCATTTATGTTATTAATTGACTAATATTTGATCAGTCAAACTACTAATCGATCAGTCAAACTATTAATTGATCAGTACAACTATTAATTGATCAGTTCAACTATTAATTGATCAATCAAACTATTAATTGCTTAGTCTAACTATTAATTGATCAGTCAAACTATTAATTGATCAATCCAAATGTTAATTAATTAATCAAACTATTAATTGATTAATCAAACAATTAATTGATCAGTCAAACTATGAATTGATAAGTTCCAACTATTGATTGATCCGTCTAACTATTAATCAATTAATCAAACTATTAATTGATTAATCAAACTATTAATTGATCAGTCAATCAATTAATTCCTTAGTCAAACTATAAACTGATCAACCAATCTACAAATTTATCAATCAAACTATTGATTAATTCGTCAAACTGTTGATTAATTAATCAATTAATTGATCAGTCAATCTATTAATTAATTAATTAAACTATTAATTGATCAGTCTAACTATTAATTAATTAATTAAACTATTAATTGGTTAAACAAACTATAAAATTAAAAGTCTCAACTATCAATTAATTAATCAAACCTTTTGTTGATTGATTGATTGATAGATATATATACTGATATATCTCTTAATTTACTGATTATTTGACTAAACATTGATTGATTGATTGACTAAACATTAATTGATTGATTGAACTATTTATATTTTAGGTTTACTGTCCTCTCCTTCTTCTCTTCTGCTTAGTTTCTACAACTCTCATTATTATCGTCTATCTAGGAATATATCCAAACCTAACCAAACAAAACCAAACTTAAACCAAACCATACCCAACCCGAACCGCCTTTACCTAACCCAACTGAACTAAACCATACTAAACCTTATCTGACTGAACCATACCATACCATACCAAACCAAACCATACCTAACCTTATCTGACTAAACCATACCATACCATACCATACCAAATCAAACCATACCAAACCTTATCTGACTAAACCATTACATACCATACCATACCATACCAAACCATACCATACCAAACTATACCTTATTCACCATGTAGAGGGTGACCCAATAACCATGGGATTTAAATAACGACTTTGTTCAGCTCTTTGTCATTATCGGAAATCAAAGACGATTTTCAAGTTGTCTCTCTCAATTCCCATGTTTATTGGGACACCCTGCACCAAGCCAAATAAAACCAAATCATATTTGGCAAAAAACTTGTTCAACAAAAGTTCAGGTTTGAATTTAATTGTCTAGGCTATAAGACCCCGTGGATGAAGAATGGTGTAGGGAGTACAAAATGATTATGAAGAATGGTGTAGGGAGTACAAAATGATAATGAAGAATGGTGTAGGGAGTACAAAATGATAAAAACCGCAAATTCTCAGAAATTCATCCTCAACCAGTTCTGTGATAACCAACTTCCATGCGTTGCTAAATTTAAGTCCTAAAATCTAAACAAGGATGTTAACAACCCCTGTGGTCCACACGTGTAAACTCATTTAGAAAATAATTCACAAATAAATTATTAGTAAGTTAATTTTTGTGAACTATTATACTAAAAAAGCGAGTTTGTTTTTTTACTAATACTCTGTTTTTTTCACTAATATTTTAGTTTTATGATACAGTGAGACCCATTATAATGTGGAATAGACACAACTTGTGGTTTTGTGTATATATAAAGCATGTGCTATACAGCAATTATGCGGCAGAGACTGACCTTTATATTAATTTGTAATCTCTGTTTGTTTGGGTGTCTGTTTGTTTGTTTTTCCGATCATAACTCAGGAACCCCTGGAATGATTTGCCTCAAATTTTGATTGGGGAACTCGGGAGACCTACTAGAATGTTCTTAGCTTGGTTTTGAGATTCTAAGTTGAGTGGGTCGGCTTTAATAGCAGCAATTTAGTTTCCCGGCTCCCCGTGCGGGTAAACGGCGGAAGTAACTTTCAGTAACCTTGGCAGCGCTGGGTTCCCAAGCTAGTTACTTAATAAGTTAGTGGTTAATAAGCTACAAGTAAAACTATTATGATGCCCTATCACAACATTTAATACACAAATGATTGACAAATGTCGTCTTCTTAATCGCCCGTTTTAGGGATCTCACTAAAATCTATATTTGGAATGATTTTAACCCTTTTTAACTCTTTATGGGATGGTTTTCGACAGTTCTTAAAATATTTATAAAGTCCATATTTTGGGATAGTTAGTTATTATTTACTAGCCCTGGATCACTAGACCACTTCAGGCTGTGTAACATTGGCCTAGTTGTGTTAGTGCATCCCTAATTGAAAATATCGAAATTTATTTTGTAAGATTATTTCTTAATTTGTACGGTGATAACCAGAAAACTCTGAAATGAAAGACGCCTTTAAGCTCAAGTTAGGACTTAAAATAGTCAAATAGTAATAAGCATGTGACACAGGAATTGTGCAGTGTAAATAGACCCGTTTCACTTAATTATTGATACCATAAGTTTCAAGTAAAACTATTTACTTTCTAACACCATCAAATACACTTAAGTAAAAGTCGTCTTCCTATTTCAGAGTTCTCTGGTTATCACTGTATCAGATTTAATTTAATTGATTTAGAAATTTATTTACAATTAAAAACTTCGACTAAAAATTTTTCGAAATTTTAGTGACTAAAAAATAGCTTCTTTGCATAAAATCGAAAATATTAAATGTCCAGTGAATCTCTCTCCTCTGCTCAGCCTGTTTTTTCATTATTTAATGAAACTGCAATTTATAAACTTTTAAAAAACCAAAAATAATTTTTTTCAATTGCATCTTTTTTGTGAAATAAGGTTGGTTTTGAAACGTCTATTTATTTAAGGTAGTTTTTATATTTCATAATTACTTTTCTTTACGGCAAATACATTTTTACAAAAAGAAACTCGTTAAATTAAATATTTACTTGTTATTTAAAGTGACCCTTCATGCACTTCCCGATTCACAACGATACCTGTAAAAGCTTTGTCTGTTCAAGATATATCAATTAGTTATGAATGTTTACAATTTTGAAAGCTGAAATCATTTTTGATTTTGATTTCTCTACAAAATTGACTCACGTATTTCTTCTGCAAGCAATCATGATAAAACCTTTCATAAACGACGATATCTTCCACATTGTCATTTACTTAATTCATGGACCATTCTTAAGAGTTAGAGTAAATTATATAATACAGGGTGTCGCAAAAAACATGGGAATTAAGTGACGACATTTAAATCGTCTTCCATTTTTGAAATGAATGAAGAAGAACGTACGTAAGTATGTAATATGGTTTTTCGTCTAAAAATTTGATCTTGTTTTTTTATATACCTTTTTGAATTTTTCATCTGTTTTTAAAAAAAGTAATTAGTCTGAATTATTCAAATCAATGTCGTCTTCATCCTTCAGTAATCTTAAAGAAAGCAAAAAATATGAAAATTCACGAAATACTAATTTACTGAGTATCTACATCCTGCCTATATAGGAAATAAATTTTAAATCCTTCAAAGTTGATTACATTGAAAATTAAAAATCTTTTTCGCAAAAAGTAAATAATTAACAAAAGAGCCCATATTAATAATAAATGACATAAGTTGTTTTCCAGGATTTCCAGTGTTTGTTCTTTCTGTGCAATTATAACTGCGAGTGTATGTGCAGAAATATATAGTATAACTAAGACAAAGGCAAACCAAAGACATATTTATCTCATATTAGTCCATAAATATAAATGATAAATTCATACAGTTAAACCCTTAATAACGAATACATCGGAAGAATTTGTCAAATGTCGTCTTGACAATTTTTTATACTATATTTCGTAAATTTCATTATTTACAAAAATGAATAAATAGCCATGAATATGCGGGAACAGTTTTAAAGAGTTCCATATAATCATTTAATTAAAAAACTAAATATCTGCAACATTCCATTATCAGAAAGTAAAGAATACGACATTTTATGAATTCTTTCGATGTATTCGTTATTAGGGGTTTCACTGTATATTTTTTGTTGGTATGAAGCGTGATGGTACAGTGATAACCGGAAAACAATGAAATATGAAGACGACTTTTATATTCAATCTATAACTTAAAAAATGGCAATAAGCAAAAGACACAGCAGTATTGAAAAAGATTGGTTTATTATTTGGTTGGCAGATTCCAAAGAAATGAAAAAATGAATTAAAACAATTGGATGTTTCTATACTTGACATGAATTTTGGTTGTCTTTACCATGAAATTGAATTAAGTGTTTTACACCAATTTAAACATTTGAAAATATAGGTGTTTTGAAATTTAGACATTTAGAGGTTTATGTGTTTTAATTTAGTGTGTTTTGTAAATACTAACCACTTAGTTTATTTATTTAAATCTTCGAGTTTTAATGTGATATAAATTAAAATACAATTCTGAATGAATACTGTAGTCTTGTTTTTATCTTGTTTGTCGTTTACGCCAGAGTAATTGAAAACATTGATGTGCCTTATAGAAACTGAGCTGAAAACTTTAGAATGGTGGATATCGAGATTAATGCGTGATCCTTCCTCTCCTTTTCATAATATCGAGACTAATCTAATCTTGTACTTGTATCCTGAAAAGTGATTCAACCAATCAGAGTCGCGTATATGAAGCTGATAAATTTGAAATTTTGCGCGCCATTTAAGATTATAAACAGAAATGAGAGGAACTCTTTAATTTAGAAAAACCGGTTTTTGACTTTTCTCTACTATATCCAAGGAAAAACGGTTTAAGAAGAAAATCAAAAGTGTGTCCATTGGATACTCAGATTAAGTATTGGGATTAAAGATATCTCATTCTAAAGTTTTCAGCTCAGTTCACGTAATTTCAAGTAAGGTTTGTCCGATTCACAATGCACCCTTCAAACCCTGCAACCAACGGTGTAGAAGATATCGTAGTTTTTCTATCAGGAAAATGACATTTTTTTTCTTTGCTGTACAAATCTGAAAATTTCTTTAAAAGAGAAACCACAACTTGAAAATTCAATTTTTAGCCAGAAAAAAAGGATTTCACCATCAACTTCAATCAGACAAAGGTTTAAAGTGTATCATGTGAATGCATCGGAAATTCCACTTTGTAAATGAAGGGTAAAATTTCCCCAAAATTTGTGCAAATTGAAACTGTAAAATGTGAAGGTGCTGTCCAAGCATGGCGTCTGCTTTGAAAAAGTTCCGTCAACTAGAGAAACAGTCTGAAAATGTTCCACCACCCTCCTCTGCTGCTTCAAAACCACAGGTAAAGACCACCCCCCCCCCCCNCACCATCCCCCCAAAAGGGGGGGAAATAATATACAGTTGGACCCACAAACTTTAAGTTTGCTAAAAACTACACTGAGACCCATAACGCTGTGAAATAGTAAGACGACACTTAAGCAATCTTGAATGTTATTATTTATCAACACTGCAGAGTTATCATTTATTGTACTATTCAAAATTATAGCTTCAGTCTAAAAGAAGTCTTCCTATTCTGCAGTTTTTGGGGTCTTGCTCACAGTCTAACACAGACTGCTCATAAGCTCTAGCAGGCCTATAGTTGACCCGGCACGCCTGCTACATTTCCATAAGAAAGGTTTTTTGATTGGCATTCAACGGCCACTAATACCCATTCAGGGAAAAACTTTTACAACTTTTAAAGAAATACCCTAACTTTTAACATAAAACAAAAATTTATGAATTTAGTCTATATTTGAAGGTTTTGAATTGCATACCCAAAGGATCCTTAAATATCCCTGAATACAGACGTCTGTTTATTGGTCTTGTACACAAACGACCCTGCACTGGAAAATATCGCATTGTCTAGCTTTAATAGATCTCTATTATCTTACCTCTGGGTCCCACTCACAGACTAACCCAGACTGCTCAGTGCTCATGTCCCACTGTATAAAATAGGAAAAATAATCAAACAAAATAATCTTTATCTTTTCCGTGCAGAGAAAGAAGCAGCCAGCTCTCTATCAACATATTTCTCTCAAATTTGAAAATCAGGAAGAAGCTCGTAGACAAAGGTAAAAGGTCATTTAGTAGACAAAGGGGGTATGAGAAGGTGCAAGGGAGTCCAAGGGGGGTATGAGAAGGTCCAAGTCTACCCCACCCTTATTATTTCGAAATAAAGGGGCCTGAGCAGACGACTATATTTCCACCGGCTAAATCTGGACTTCTTCAAAAGTATTTCTGATTCAGTTTAAAATCCTTGCGGAATGATTTATCTTTCTAAAAGGAAGTTCAGCGTATGTTTACATGCAGTACACTACATGAAGTACAGTGCTTAATATTCTTATGAAAGGAAGGAAAAGTTTAGTTCTAGGTAGTAGGGTCATTATACATTAGGATACTATTACAACATGGCATTGACATCCAGACCTTGAAATATCCTGGATGCAGATGCAAATTGTCGCCCCTGACCTGACCTAGATTAACCTGATTTTATCTTAGAGCACTTGATCTCAGACAGATGAGAGAGGAGGAGCGCCGGATGAAAGAAGAGGAAGAAAAAAGAAGAAAAGAAGAGAAAGAAAGATTAAAAAAAGAACAATTAGAAGAAGAAAAAAGAAAAAAGGAAGAAGCAGAGCAGAAGCGTGTTCAGGAGGAAATTGATCGTTTAGCTCGTGAAGCAGAAGAGAAAAGAATTGAAAAAGAAAAACTAAAAGCAGAAGAAGAAAAGAAACTAAGATCACAACTAACTGCAAAGTCAATGTATGAGCAAGCCTTGAACTCCATGAGAAATGCTCAAAAATCTTTAAGTTCAGACAAAGTTGTAACTTTAAGAAAAGGAACAATAAGTGATATTAGGAATAAGATATTTGAAAAGAAAGCTGCAGAACAAAAACCTATTTCTAAAAAGATTGTACCAAAAAAGCATATAATAACTGACAATGATAAAACAGTTAAAGAAAATGAGTTAGTAAATGATGAAGAAGTTGTCATGAAAGAAATCACAAAGCTAGAAAACAATAAAGCTGATGAAACAAATGTTGAAGAACAAAACAAACCTGAAATTATAGCTGCAGATGAATCAACTCAGAAAGATGATGGAAAAAATAACAAGAGGCAGTCTTTTATCAATGATTTTGCAGCTCTGGAAAAAACTTACAGAATGTTAGGAATTCACAAAGAATCAGTGAAATTAGATGAAGAAATTAAACCAGAGAAGAAGAGACATGCAAGTGAAGGAAAAGCCAAGAAGAAATCAAAATCAAAATCTATCTCAGACATGAAAAAGAATGAAGAAGATTTAGCAGTTAAAGTAGAAGTCAACAAGATAAAAATTGATGCTCTTGATAAAGGACAGTCTGAGGCTAAACGAAACTTTTTCCAAGACCTAATCAATGAGAAGAAAGGCCTGGTACCAAAGGATGTAGTTTTAAATGGGCCAAAGCTTAGAAAGAAAACAGATCTTGTTTCAGCCTTTGAACAGAAAACAAGGGAAAGCACTAAAAGAAACAGTTTAATCAAGGAAGATGTAAAGGTAAGTTTTTATTCATCTTAACTATTTAAATTTAAATTTATTTGTTTGTTTCAGGTTGATGCCTTGTTATTTTCAAATTTTATAAATAAATTTGAAACAGAGGATCAAAGGGCTGAAGCAAAGATTAAAATAGCACAAATAACTGCACAACAAAAGAAATTTGAGGCTCGCAAAAGAGCATTGGAGGAAGAACTTCGAAAGCGAAAAGAAGAAGAAGAAGAAGAAGAAAGAGTTTTGCAAGCTCAATTAGAAGAGCAGATATTAGAGCAGCAAATGATGGAAGAAAAGGAAGATAGATTAAGAGCAGAATATGAATTAAAGAAGGTCCAAACTGAACTTGAAAATCAATCCAAAGAGGAAAAAAAAGTTAAGAAAGTTAAAAAGAAAAAGAAGAAAGATGAAAGTAAACCTGAAGAGTTACCTCAACTTAAAATGGGATTTTTGGATTTTTCAGACAACAAAAGTAAGTTTGAACAGCTAAGAAATAAGGAAGCACTTTCACCTGAAGTAAAACAAGTTAAAGTGAACAAACTCACAGTCAACCCATTTATACAATCCAACTTTGAGGATAAAAAAGAAATAAGAAGTGCTCCGGTAAAAATAAATAAACTACAAAAAAATAAATTTATCAAACAGCTTGAAAAAACTGAAACGCCAGCACTTAGAGAAGGCCCCAAAAATAAAATATCTGACACCCAGAAGAAGGTTCAACCTGAAATCAAGTTTGAAAGCAAAAAAATCAGTGCTTCTAAAAAGGAAGAAATTGTTGCTGAGACTACAGTTTTAATGCCAAAAGTAAGAGGCAGCAAAAGTATTGAAAATCCCATTCCTGGGAAAAAAGAAAAGAAACACTCCAGTACTCTTTCCTTGTTATTTGACAATACAAAGCAATTCTTTAGAAATTCCAAGGAAAAGTTAATGAGATTATCCAAAGAAGCGTTGAATGAGTTGGAAGAAATGCATTCCCCAGTAAAACCAACAACGTCGGAAATGCAAAACTATCTTTTATCTCACGTACTCTTTGATAAAGCAGAGGTGCAAAGTAAACCCCTTAAGGAAATATCTTTAACTAAAGAAGAAGAGTTTGATCTTTATTTGGATAAGGAATATAAAGACAAAATTGAGCAATACTGTTCTCTTGTTGAAGAAAGTAAGCCAAGAAAACCCAAAAAAGTTTCTAAAAAAGAGCTTCCTCAAATAAAACTAGTGGAGGTTAAATCAATTCAGGAACAACTAAGGAACCAATTAGAAAGAACATCAGAGAAAAGAGGAATAAATGAAGAATTGGAAAACCTTGGTAACAGGAGAGTTAAAGAAATGAAAGAACTTTTAACAATGGAACTTGAAAAAAACAAGTCAGAAGAAAGACAAAGAGTTAAGCCAAAAAAGATTAACAACAGCATATTAAACAAAATTAAATCACTGGAACAAGCTGAAGAGGAGAGAATAAAAAGAGAAAAAGAAAATGAAGAACGTATTCAAAAACTTGTAGAAAAAGAAATGCTACGGGAGGAAAAGCGCAGAGAAAAAGAATTACAAGCAAAAGGGGAAAATGACGAACAAGATGAAGATGAGGATGAAGATGATGATGAAGATGAGGAATTGAAAAGAGATATTAGAATAAGATTGGAAGAAGAATTAGACAATCTAGAAGAGGAACAAAGAGAACTTGAAACAACAGAAAAAATGTTGATTGACGAAGAGAAGGCATGGGAAGGTGATGCTCAAATAGAGAGAGAGGAAATAGAAGATAATTTGGAAATAAAAGAAATTAAGGAAGACATCATAGAGAGAAGAAAAAATGCTGACCACAGAAAAAAAGTTTTGCAACAGTTTCAGCATATATTTGACCATAATGAAAATGGCCAAAAAATGAATGATGAATTTTCCTTGCAGACACAAGAAAAAGCAAGCAAGAAAAAATTTGAAGACAATGTTCTTTTTGGTGTGTCAGATATAATAATAAAAGTCAAGAACAAGTTTGAAGCAACCCCTGAGGAAAACAATGATTTTTATAAAACAGAGGTAAAAAGAAAATTAAATGATGCTGCTCTCCGATTTGAAACAATGAAAGCTGATTCACCAGAGAACATTCCTCGACAAAAATCTGACAAGCAATGGACCTGGAAAAGTAAGACACCACTTGAGTTGGAACTTGAAAACATGCCAAAAAAGGAGCAGCCTGATCTTTCAAAGAAACCCCATGGCAAAAAAGGATATCAGGAATTAAAATATGATGAACTTCTGGAAGATATTAATGCTGTCAAGCAAAGGCTAAAAGAACGCAATATTAACTTGGAAAATGAAGAAAAAATGGAAGAAATGAATAGATTTATGGAAGAAATAAAGCAAAGTTTGAGAGAAATTGAAAATGAGGACACAGAAGACCTTGAAATTATCAAACCAACCAATAAAAGAATCAAAAAGAAATCAGAGCCAAAGAAAAATACAGATGTTAAAAAGTCAGAAAGATCTGCTCTTATTCAAAATCTGAAAAAAGAACTTTTCATTGAAAATCAGAGGAAAACAAACTCGTCAACAGGGACAGATCTTGAGGACTTTAACATTTCTGTTAATTCATTAAAAAAGAAAATCACAGAAAATGACTCAGCCTCTGATGCCAGAGTTTCTTTGGACAAGGTTCCGTTAAAGTCAAATTCAGGTGTTGTATCCAAGATTGCTGAAATGCTTGTAGTCCCTGATGATTCAATTAAGAACACTGACTTAAGGAAAGCTCCGAAGCTATTGTTGAGGAATACAACTCTTGAAAATGAAGATGATTCCCCTCTAAAGACGTTGGAAGAGCTAAAGACAGAACAGCAAAATAAAAAATGGGCCTGGAAAGAGAAAGAGATGTCAGATTTGCAAGATTACATAAAATCCTTTGATAACATAGTTCCAAAGAAAATAATAGATCAGCAAAAGAATCTACAAGATCTTGAAGAAGAACTCAATGTTGTTGAATCATTGATAAGCAACAAGGATACAGATATCATTGTTCAAATAAGAGAAGAAAAAGAACGAGAATTCAATAATTTTATGCACGGAGTTAAATGTTATTTAAGTGAAGAGACCAAAACTTCCGAGGAAGACAACTTTAAGAAGGGAATGCAATCTTATCTAGATCTAATTGATGAAAAAAAAACAGAACATAAAATGTACACTTCACCTCCTTTAAAGAACAACACCTTGAATAAACTTAAATCTAAATTATTTCAAGAAGACTCAAAAAGTACTGAGTCAACCCCACCATCTCCATTAGTAAGAAAACTTCCAATGTCAGTAATTAATGCCATAGCGACACCTAAACCCTCTGAGCTTGTAAAACCTACTTTATCTCCAGAAATAAGCAGTACTTCAACAAAGATTGCAAAGAACCTGTTTGAAACCCAGAAAGAGATTCCGAGTCCAGTGATAAAATCTAAAGGCCTTCATCCAAGTGTATTAAACCTAAAAAGGTCAAACAGTAACACTCTCAGAAAAAATATTCAAAATCAATTGAAATACAAATTGAAAACCATTCTTGAAGTTCATGAGTACATCGAGAGTCATGAAAACCTTTGTGTACCAACTGTCATTGAAACTATACAAAAGTTTATCCTTGCCAAAAAAACTGAAGATAAATTATCTTGCCATCAAAAGTTTTTGGAGACCTCAAGGTTTTTTGTTGAGCAAAAGGCTAGGTCTGAAGAACAAAAAATATTCAAAGACAATATTGAGGCTTATCTGAAGATTATTGAGAACCCAGACAATCTTAGCAATGGCACTCCAAAGCTTAAAAAGCATGCCAGCTTAGAGGTTCAGCCCAACACAAATATTAAAAAGAAAGAGATTCAAATTTGCAGTAATTCTGAGAGAGAACTTGAAAAATATAAGATGTTAAACCCTGAAGAAAAACGAAAAAGCATTTTACAGAAATATGGGTTTAAAGATAGAATTCAAGTTACAGAAATATCAGATGACTCTGATGACTCTGCTGATGAAAATATAGAAGAAAATGTAAAAGATCTATCAGACAATGAACTTTGCCTAAAGTATGGCCTTCCTCTAATTTACATTCCTGAAGAGAATAAACAAGAAAGTTCATCAAATTCTATCATTGGGTTTAAGAACCTTCTGTCTAAGATAAGACAGGTTTCTGTTGGTAAACAAGGAGAACATGTTTATTCACCAACAATTCAAAGGAAAGATGAAAGACTTGATAATAAACCAGTCCCTGGATCTGCAAGCAAAATTAAGAATATCTTTGAGACTCAAGAAACGCACAAGTCAGAAAGCAGCTCCATGACTCCTCATAGACAAGTGGATTTGGAGATTTTTAACAGTGGGATAAATAGTAGGATTAAAAAACAGTTTGAACAGCTTACACCTTCTCCAGAATTAGTTAGAAAATTCCCCACCATGAGCCTGCAAAAAAGTTCTACTGTTTCAAATATTGGGTCAATGTTTGAAAATTTCAAGGAAGATGAAAATTCTGTAAATAATAGCCCCTCTCTGAATGAAAACAGACTCTTGTCTATAGAGAAAAGTAGATCTTTCTCAAAATTCAAGAATGCATTTGAGGCAGGAGTTGGACTAAATGATGACGAAGAACCTGATATGTCTGAAAATTATGCAAAAGCTGGAGTGAAGGCTGAGCTAAATGCTTTGAAGTCATCCAGCAAAATTCAAAGAATGTTTAGAATTAACAGATCTAATTCAGATGTAGAACACAGCCCACGAAAAGAAAGAGAATTGGATGAGAAAACATTGCATGAAATATCAAAATCAAGAAGTGAAATAACTAACATGTTTGAGTCCAAAATCCCAAAGATTACATTTGGGGGAAGTAAACCAAAGAAAGCTTCTGAACCTGTAAAACCCAAAGTGAAAAAAGAAGAATCTAGTGAAAATCGCAAATGGGTCTTTGACACAATACAAAAGTACTTTGACGTTATAGTAGAAGAAGAACAGGAGGAAGAAGAAGAAGATGAAGAGGAGGATCCAGATAATAATGTTGAAGATGATGATGAAAGTGATTACACAAGTGCAGAAGAAGAACTCCATGAACCAACTGTTTCTGGAAGAATTTCTGTTCTGAAAGAAATTGATGTTTCCGCTTTCTTCCAAAATAACAAGCCAGCAGACAAAGTAGTAACTCCCATCATTTCAAAGAGAAAAATTTCAATTGATGATTTTGTTGATGATGCTGCTAAACAGTTTGATGAAATGACAGATGGTTCAAACACAAGTCTGGATGCTCTAAACAAAAAACCTACAAAAGGTGTAAGCTGGCAAAACTTAAACCAACTCTCAAAATCAAATTCAAGCACAAAAATCAGGGGACTGCTAACATCTGTAGTCCATGGCTCAGCCAACAACTTAAACTTAAATACTTTTAAATCTAATCTCCTGGCCCATCTCAACTCTAAAAATAGCAGTCTGAAGGTGAACACTAAAAACTATGATCCTGGCGTCGCAGACGATTCAGATTCTGAATATTCCGAATATGATGATTAGAGTTTTAATCTTAGATTTATATTGTATTTCTTACAAAATTGTCAGGTTTTTTTGTGAGAATAATTAAAAATTGCATCATTTAACAAATTTGGAAAAAAAAGTTTAAAATATTTATTTAATTTAAAAATTACTTTTCAAAAACAAACATTTGTGGTCATTAGAAATAAAACAACAATAATTGTATTGCAAAAAAAGCAAATTTCAATAAAATCTATTTAAGTTTGGTGCAAAAATAAAAATTTATTTAAGCTTAAATGTCAAAATTATAAGCATGAAATGAATATTTCTAAACCTTTTCTAAATTGTTTTTAAAGAATTCCCAACCCTTCTTTCTCGGCCTACTATAAGTTAATCATTTAAATTAAATTGAATCAAAATATTTTGCCAAACATTTTGGCATCATCTTGTTCTAAAAGTATTGAATGAATTTATAAATATCTCTTATTTTTGTTTGTGTAGAAGTTAAATTTTCTATCTGCTCATCTTTTTCTGATTTTTAAACTAATTCAGATATTTAGAAACATAAATCATTGTAAAATAATTTTATATCGAAATATAACATTTATTATCTAAATAAAATCACATAAATAATCAGAGAATAATTCATTTAAAAGGATTTACGATATTTAATGCCAGACCTGAAAGTTGCTAAAAAATACATTGTTTTATATAACTGTGATCTTGCCAGGCTACATTTGTATAACGTTCTAGGTCGACTCTACACTGCTTAGCCTGACTGGACTGTACGACGGACATATCGTACCGGCACGGATAATGCTACTTTTAGACTGGGGTGACGTCTTTTACGTTTTAAAAAAATTGGGGTCTCTGAGTTTTATGTATCTCTACAATTGGTGAAGATATTAGATACAGGGTGTCCCAAGAAACTTAACTGTAGAAAAACAACTTAAAAACCGTCTTTGATCTTTTTTTAACAATTTAAACTGGGAAAATTTCTTAATATCTCTGTACGTGCAGGTAGGGTTGGTAATCGTTTTTGAAAACGATCGTTTAACGATCGTTTTTTGCTTCGTTAAACGATCATTTTTAAAAACAATCGTTTCGTTTTCTCAAAAAAACGATCGTTTTTAAAACAACCCACTCGTTTTGAACTGTTAGAAAACGAAGAACAATCGTTTTTGAAAACGATCGTTTTCAGAAAAACGATAAGCGACCGTTTTTTATACGATTGTTTTTAAATAAACGATCGTTAAAAAATAACGATCGTTTTTGAAAAAAAAATTATCATTTTTACGACGTCCTGAAGATAGTCATGAATGTCGTCTTTAATTAGATTTATCAAATGTCGTCTTACATGCCGTAGCAGTTATAAAATGTTCAGCGGAATTGAATTGAATTGAAGAAATTTGTTCTACTTTTGAGAGTGCAGAGCCGCCATGAGCCCCGCAAAATGGTTAATATGAACTTTAAAACCTAATTCTTTATTTGTTTTATATATGCTTGAAATTTGGCACACAAGAAATTAAAGTACAAGATATTAAAAATATTAAGTTTTGATCATAATTGTTTAGTTAATGAAAGGTCATCCCTAGAAGACTGATTTGATTAGTGATTGGATAAGGTAATGATTGATAATTACGTCACATAAAGATAATTAATTCTACAGATCGAAAGAAGGACTGTAGTCTCCAAATTTACGGTTATTATCAAGAAGGGTAGTCGTTAACGATCGTTAACAAAGGGTAGTCGTTAACGAAGGGTAGTCGTTAACGATCGTTAACGAAGGGTAGTCGTTAACGATCGTTAACAAAATGACGAACTTTATAAAAACGATCGTTTTGAAAAACGATCGTTTTTTTAAACGATCGTTTTTTATAACGATCGTTTAAAAAACGACAGTTTTTAAAAAACGAACTTTTTAAAAAACGATCGTTTTTAAAAACGATCGTTTCGTTTTTCGATTTTCCTCGACGTTTTCTTAACGAAACGATCGTTTTTTTCAAAAATCAAAACGTTACCAACCCTACGTGCAGGTGGGTGCAGATAAATCACTATTTGAAATTTAAACACAATTTGTTTCATGCTGATCAGCTGAATGTGAATGTTTACTAAGACATCCTGGTTATTGGTTTATTTTATTTAAATGCTGATTTTTATTAAAAGTATTTTTAAAATGTCGTCAGATTTCTTCTAAAACTTTCAAAATATTTAAAGTTTGTTTTTATTTCCTTCCGTCATAAAATCCTCAAGTCAGGAGTTTCTGCTTTTGTTTAGTATACGACTAATTCAAGAATATTATTTTTATTTTTATTAGATTTTTGACCACAAAGCCCTATCCTGGAAAATTTGTCCTAGGAGGCAAATTTTTTAAAACCCTAAAAGGTACAGGGTGTCCTAGAAAACATGGGAATTCAGTGACGAATTCGATATAGTCTTTGTTATGAATTAGCATTGTAATACCTAATTTCTAAAGCCATAATATTGTTATGTCTGCTAGAGTTTATTTTATGAAAAGGGTAAAAGACTGCAAAGATGTGTCTATAATGTCTCCGCAAGATGAACAGTGAAGACGGACAAGTTTATTCTGTTTGTATACTGCAATTTTCTTGTTATACAACCGTATGCAGTCAAAACATAAACAAACAAACTGTAAACATAGCAGACGAAACTCTTACAGATTACAGCTTTCTCAGTAGGTATCAATTCACTTTACTAAATCAAAGAATTATTTAAAAAGACGATATCGAATTCGTCACTCTATTCCCATGTTTATTGGGACACCCTGTATAAGAATCTAAGATAATAATTGAAAAAAGCTCAGATTTTTTTTTGTCACAAAATTAGAAAGAAAGGAAAAAATTCTTATATTTTTATTAAATGTTATATAAAGGGTGTCTTAGAAAACATGTGGATTCAGTGACGACATTTATATTGATTTTGATGCAGTATTTATTCATGACTTGAAACAACAAAGTGCAGCATTTAAGTAAAAATAATAAGCAACAGAATCTCTTGTCTAAACTTATTTTTTAGGATAAATCAAATCAAATCAAAGTATATATTTAGCTATAAACGTTACATAGATTTTTCAAATATTTCTACGACAATTTATTGCAACAGTTTATTTGAACAAAAATTTTACATTTGAGACCTATCAGACTTTTTACGGTGGATATTTGTTCAGCAAGAGCACACATGCAATCTTTAAAATCCTCATAGATTGTGATCATTTTGGAGGGATGATTTTGAGAATTGTTTTTTTATTATTCAAAGACGACCACGAAAAATGTAACAAAAATTCTACAATAAACTAATTAGTTGTTCAGGAACTGGTTTAGAAAATAAATATTAACTTTTATTATGGAAAATAAGTAATCTAATTCAGTTATTGCTTTTTTTTAATGTCTCATTGTTCAGAAACATGTTCTGTATATTTCCTGGAATTTTATTGAAAAGACGACATTTGAAGAATTTAAAGATGTCTACGTACAAATTCATAAAGAATAAGAAATTCAATATAATAATGAAAAAGATATAATTGATTATAACATTGATTTATTGACAAATTTCTGATATAAAATATGTTTCTAAACAGCTAATTAGTTTACTGTAGATTTTTTGTAACATTTTTCGTCGTCTTCATTGAATGAATGATTCTCAAAGTCATCTCTCCAAAATGGACAATAAATGAAGATTTAAAGATTGAATTTGCATCCTTGATGAACAAATATGCACCGTAAAACGTCTGAGTCTCAAATGAGTCCTAAAACATTTCTCTACATTACTGCATTCTTAGCTAAACTACCATTTCTAGACAGACTCTCCCTTTAATTGAATCAAATGAATTGGAATGCAATTGAGTTTTTGCCACAATTTAAAATTTTCTGATCCATACATCTTATCAACATAAAGTAGGAGACCTTGATATTTCAAAATCATGAATTCTGGGAGATTCAAGTCTAAGTTTAAAATATCAGGTTGCAAAGATATCGGGATTAGAAAATTTTAGTTTAAGGCAGTGTTTAGAGGTATATTCAGATAGGTTATACTTATTCAGATAGGTATGGGCATGAAAAGCTACTTTTATAACCCTTAGAATGAAACCATGTTTCCAGGGGGAAAGCCTTAAATTTCTTCTCCAAATCTTAACTTTTTTGGGGGAGGGGTGGGGGGCAATAACTAAATTTTGTGGATTTTTTAGTTGAATGTATTTCTCCCTGCTACATTACAGAGTGTACACTGCACTATACCGTACACTGGTAGACAATTTATTTTACTAAATCAAATTTAAACGTTGAACATCAGCTTGATAAAGATTTCAGGCAAAGAATAAAATAAAGTTTGAACAAAAATGAATGTATTGTAACTTAGGATTTCCTACGTATTAGATTATTCACTTACGCGAAATTACGTGCAGTTACGAGAAATAATTTTCATTTTGTGTAATTTCGCAGGATTTTGCTTCATTGGCAAAACGTCAATTTCGCGTAATATCTACAAAGTAATTTTGCGAAATTTTGTAATAAATAATTTCTACAAATTAACTTCGCAAAGTTTTTGCTATTGTTGTGCCTTATTAGAGTTTGAGCGCAAATTCGACGTTCAAAACTCCTACTTTGGGGATGGATACGTTTAAAGAATTAGTTTTTTTAAATTATTAAATAACGACGACATAAAATGTAAAAAAAGTTCTACATTAATCTACAAACGTCATGTATAGGAACATGTAGAGCAAATAAAAATTAATCTTATCATCAAAAATAAGTTATCTTGTTCAATTATTAGTTTCTATTTTCTCATTATTCTGGTTTCTCATCATTCAAAAAGATTTATGCAGATTTTCTAGAATTATTATTGAAAAGACGACATTTGAAGAATTTGAAGAAATCTGCGAATAAATTCAAAGATAAGAAATTCTATATAATAATAAAAACGAAATAATTGATTTTAGCATTAATTTATTGACACAATTTTTTAGAGAAATATGTTCCTAACAATCTAATTAGATTACTGTATAATTTTTACTTTATTTTTCGTTGTCGTTATCTAATAATTTAAAAAACAAATTCTGAAAACGTATCTATCCCCAAAGTAGGAGTTTTGAACGTCGAATTGGCGCTCAAACTCAGGATTTACAGATCTTTAAAAAGTTTAATATGTCTCAAATGATTCCGAAAGAAGTTTTCCACAACACTTCATACTCAGTTCAACTACCTTACAAAGCTGGTCACTCCCTTTAAGATCGTATTTTTTGGTGATAAAATCAAGACTCAGTTTTCTTTTGTGAAAATGCTCAAACATTCTATTTACTGTCTTACTGCATTACATTAGACACTATAATGCTGAAGTGTCTCCCTGTTGCTCTCATTAAGAGCTTTTTGTATGCAGCTATGAACTAAAAAATGTAAACTTGTATTTTTAAGTTTTTGTTGAAAAGAAAACGATTTGATACTTTGACTTTACAGTGGTTGGTGATTATATCAATACAATGAAGACAACTTTTTACTAATAATGCTTTGATCCCTAACAAGCATTTTTCAAATAACAAGTGGACAAATTGAGATGCTGTTAATTGACAACTTCGCTTTGTTTAAATGTTTAAGTGTTTCTGTTCTTTGAAAACTTGTCAGACATTTAAATAGAAAGTCGTCTTCATTGTATTGATATTTACGAAAACGGCTGTAGTCTTATTCAAAGTTAGATATCCAGTATTTTTATGAAGAAAAGAAATAAAAGTTTACATTCCTGGGGAACGATTTGGTTGTTATTTGATCCTAAAAAGAAAACGGAATGGATTTTTGTTAATGTACCATCCCCTACCCCCAACCCCTCTCCCTGCTGAGGATGGGTATAGAGCATGGAAAATTCTTCAGGACAAATCAACCTAAACCTGGCCCCCCCTCCCTCTGCTCCAGCCGCCTTATCTAGTGTTGCACCCTACAGTGGCTGACCAGCTAGCCGGCCCTAGGACTAAAGAAATGGCGGGATCTGCGTTCAGGACACAGAGAGGGAAAGAGAAAGTAGCCAAGTTGTGCGCCAGCTCTCACAAGGAGAGGATGAAGCAATTCGCCAACTCACCATAAGTATAGAAGTTGGGCATCAGTCCTCAGAGAGTACAGGATGAAGCAATTCGCCAACTCCCCACAGTTGTAGGATGGTCAATCCACTGGGAACTGCTGGGTTTGATCGGAGCTGTGGGAAAAACCAGAAAACTCTGATTAAAGGAGTCTTCTCTGGTTAAAGAAGAGTCTTGGATCCATGATCCTAAATAGGGAAGAGCAGAAAAGATGTGCTTTTCTATAAAGCAGGCAGGGAGAATGGTTCCCATGTCTAACAAGAAGATCTCAGGAAACCAAAGCTGTGGATCTGAATGAAACTGTAGTAGCAGTATATCTACATCGCTAATTTAGTTGTTTTATAGTTTTATATAACTTTGTAACCTATTTCCTATTATACTTTTAATAGAAATGTTCAATAATGTTGCCTTTTATTGGTGTAAGACTATAATCGTCTAGAGTATTGTTACCCCCCTTTGGGGGTATCCTTTCAAATATAACATTAAAACGGAGAATTTTGCTTTTTTTCTGCTTAAAATTGCATTAATTTTGTAAAAAAGGTCAATTTACGTGTTTTGATGTTTTTAAATGTCGTCTTCTGAATTTTGAAATTTGAATTTTGATAAAAAAAATTTGGAGTTTGTCCAGCTTCTTGCCGTTGATACTGAAATAGACCGTTAATGGCTGCACCGTCAACGATTTTTCAAACATTAACAATTGTTTTTCCGTGATTCGCGCCGTTAATACTGACATAGACCGATAACAGCTGCACCATTTTTGATTTTTAACATTTAAAGATTATTTTTGGCGCTTTGCAACGTTAAAATGGAGCTGTTAAAGATTGTACTGACTGTAGGATGAGTTCAGATCCTAGTCAGTATATTTACCCTTGCTAATAGTTTTGCAAGGGAGAGAAATGATCAAAAAGTGTTTATTCATTTATTCTCTTTACATTTACTCTCGGATTACATACTGAAAATATAACAATGATTAAATAGGTTATAATTACAATTGTAAATATTAATGAATAAGATTAACATAATTGAATAAATGTTATTTACAAAATTTAGTGCAGGAATCTCTAAAAAAAAGAAAAACCCTTCTTTCCTACTGAGTGTAGGTTAAACTTGAACGAGGGTGGGCTAAGCACTATATAGACTGTAAACTATAAACTAGTTACATAGTACGGAATGTCGTCATTCCATACAAAGAGTAATATTAAACTTAACATTTTCTCAAAATTTTAAATTGATTTTGTTAGGTAAATACTAAACAAAAAGAAACACATAATTCAAATTTCAATATAACTACTGAACAAGTACAAGTTTTTTATTCTTCTTCAAAATACAAAAAAATCAAGTTTATAAATCACACTTTCCACATTCGCTCTATGACTCAGGATTTTTTTTGTCTTTCTGGCAGCTGAGTAAATCATAGCAAAAATAAATTCTTTTGTTTAAATCATATTCCTAAACCCAAAGGAATAATCAAATTGTTATTTTCACTAAAACACACATCAAATTCAGAAACGCCTTATTTTACCTGGTTTCTTAAGATCCAGAATTTTCTCTTTCCCTTCAGGTGCAAATTGTACCTGGAGTTTTGGTTGTTGAGTGGGCAGAGGGGGAACAAGATCATTGTTACCTGGTGTCTCATCCATTTCATCGACATCATCATGATCAATGTCACTGCCAGAACTGTCATCATCATCAACAACATCAGTGTCAATGTTGTGGTGTGTCAATCATTTGGAAAGTGTCCGACACTGTCTAATCACTTTGGTCAAACAGTTCTGATTTGAGGTCTTATACTTTACCTTGATCTGTCTGATCAATCTATTGTTGTCGGGAAGACCTGGACTACCCTAACTGTCTCATAAGGCCCAATCTTGTTTGAGGTATCCAGTAAGAGCACAATATCATTTACCTGAATGTTTTCTTCAGTAGTCTTTCATTTCGTGATAGATGAAGCAATCTTTTTGAAGTTGGAATGGTAGATGTTCCACTACATTTGTGACTTTCTTGAACACCACTGCTACGTTTGGTGAGTGAAGATTGTTGCAGTCCTGACTGATGTGGAAAATTATTGTTGTCCTGTTTAAAAATTCCATTGAATTCCTTTCTCCTGCCTAGTGTAAGCTGAGTGTTCCAGTTCTCTGGACCTATCTCTTCACAGCCTACCCTAAACAGCAGCCTCAGCTTTAGTATTTAGGGGGAAAGTATGAGGGGAGGGTAAAAAAATTGTCCCTGGACACTGAGTACATCCCTCTTTGCGAAAAAAGTCATTACTCTTGTTTCAGCATTATCAGCAGTCAAATTTTGCTCAGTGGCAGCTCCTCTATCATACTTGCCAACTTTAAACCAAAGTCAAATTAGGACACTAAGTGTATCCAAGGTACTTTGTTTCATCAACATCTCCCATCTTAGTCCACTTGTTTAATGTTAGTCCACCAGCTTTGGCGACAGTTTCAAGAGAATCCATGTTTCCACTCCAGGATTGAGTGGCGCTGACATCATCAATGTTTTTCTGTTTATCTGCATTCACATGTTGACAAAGTTCACACATTGTTTTATAGAAACTCCAGGGTTCAAAATATTATGCAATTTTCTACTTGCAACACAATCACATATTCTCTTGTGGAGGGGTTGGTCATTTTCCTTACAATATTTGCAATGCTTACTTTTGCATGCAGGATTCAAACATGTCATGCAAAGACCTATCTTTTTTCCCAAAGTTTTAGGGGATTGATGCTCCCCTGTCATGCTGCAAGTTTTATCATAAGGCAAATGGTTGGTTCCACACAACTCTTAACAGTACAAAGATTATTTTAGAAACAGGAGCTTTAGCCCCAAATTCCAAACTTAGATTTGCTGCTGAGTAGATCTAACAACTTATCAAACATTCTGAGAAATTTGGATGTAGCTTCACTTCCTTTTTATTGTTGAAGTTTTAGATCCTCTCTACAATAATCAAATTCAGATGCAGTACTTCTGCTGAAACTGTGAACTTCAGGTTTGACCTTTATCTTATTGTTTTGTCAAAAGATTGTATCTTCTGTTATTTTGTTGGCAAAATGAAATGTTGAGTTATTTTGAACAGTAAAGAGCTCAACAATATGATTTTTCTTCTGTTACTATTATATAGAACACCCAGATCAGAGAATGCATTTTGAACATTCTTAATACAGTGACAATTGTCCAACAGTAAATTCACAGGTTTTTAAATTCATCATAACTGATCTGACTATTTAGTTTTTCTTGATCTACTGAAGCTCCTGATGTCTTTAACAAAGAGATATTCACAGATGGAGAATAAAAAGTTACTAGAGTAATTTGAATCCCACAGTCAGCTAGATACACTGTAACAAGATTTGCAGGACCTAAACAATAAAAAAATCATCTGCAAGAAATAAGAAATATAAATAAAAAGTAAAAAAGGGATTCTTTCTAGACCAGCTTCTGCAAGTTTTTTTTAGAAAAGAACTAATTTTCTACACTGTATTTTCAAATGTATTTTTTAAATTTTAATATTTTCAGTTGGTCAGAAAGTTAGCAGTATGTTTCTAAAAGGGGTTTAAAAGTTTCTAAATGTTTTTAGGTTTAAAAAAACTTGCCTGCACTGTTTAATTCATTTATAATAAAGTAGCCAAGTGGAACCTTCCAAGAACTGTTCAGTGTTTACAGCTACCAGCAAAAACACAAGGGCATCACTTGCAAGTTGTTCATCATCTCCAACCTCCTCTTCATCCTCTAGATCTACCACAACTTGGTATTTTTCTCCGTCAAAGAATAGATGTTTATTATTAAACATTTCATCTAAGGTTATACTTCTAATAACTTTTCTTCCTTCTTGAACTTCTTGCTTCAGGAACTCAAAAACCTGATCTGTAAATCCAGGTGAACCATCCAGTCTGAAGCCCCATCTCCTATTATTAGAAACAAGTAAATAATCAGAGCATTGCAGGGTTCTGGTCAAAGGATGATGCTTTAATGACAACATAAAACCAGTTAAATAAATGCCACAAGCTTAAATAGGGTCCTCTGCATTAAATAAATCATTTAAATGTGAAGAAACTATGTGGCATAGAATAAGTATGAGTCCAATAATACCTTGATCATAACAAATTCATATAAAATCTTATTGTTCTTTTGTCTGGTAAACAATCTTCAAAGGTCTCTTAACAAATCTGAATTAATTTATATAAATTTTAGGTTGTAAACATAAAATTAAACACATCCATTTGATTCATGAAATGAGGGGGCACTTCCAATATTTAATCTTACTTTTCATCATCACGCTTGATATTTTCTAGAGTTTGTATAGAACAAAGATAATATATATATAGATATGCAGGCAGGTAGAAACCTCCTTCCTAAATTGCCTGTAGCAGACAACTAATTTTTGAACCTCTGAGAAAATGTGCAAAAAGAGACATCTATAGCAAATTGATTACTTTCTATATTCCTTTCTCCCCTTTCTGCTATCTGTAGGAAATACGCATTTGTGTTATATAAACATACAGTACGCGTATTGCATCCTGTATAGTTCAAGTGTTGCTATCTGGACGTGTTTGACCAATAAAATTAAATTTCTAGGTAACACAAACATACAGTACGCGTTTTGTTTATGTTATGATCAGATCATTTGTAATTTGTCCTAGACTCGATGTACTTTTAAAGTCATAATTTTTATTTAAATTGCGTTAATTTACGTATGCCATTCAGTACAACTTGCACATTTAAACTTTGTCTAGTCAAATTCCTACCTCAGTTTTATTTGCATTGATTAATTTTACATTGTTGATACTATAGTACGCATTTAGTGTTATCACGCATAAACAAAGTGATAAATTAGCAACAATCCAGAGGATAAAATGCCATGCGTACGACAGAGATGGTGCTTTTTGCACATTTTCTCAAGACCTCTAAATTTATACCTGTCTGCATATCTATATATATATTATCTTTGGTATAGAACATTAGATAATTGATCTATGTATAAGTCTAGATTGCATATCTTTAACATAAATTATTATTTCAAAGTTAACCTAAAAAGATTTAAAAAATTTGGGCTAGATGGGTGCAGCCGGTTTTATGTTTATTGAAACTAACAACTAACACCCAGACAAACAAAATCAATATGTATATAGATTATTGATGTTTTTTTACCTGTATGCCTGCGCTGAAACTAAGTGCAGAGTTACTGCAAACGATGATAGGTTTCATATACTTTTCCAGGTTCTGTTTTGGAGAACTTGATTTTTTCACACTTCTGTTTAATTTTGTTCTGGTACTTTGCTGTATTCTGTAGATTGCTTAGTGTTTCATCAGGGATGCTGAACTTTTCTTTCAAATTTGTAATGGTTTCCTTCAGCCTCTCAACATTTTCTTCCATTTTCCTTTTACTGTTTTTAGAAAAATACTAATTTTTCTGAAATTGTTTAACCTTTAATGTTGATTGTTGCAATGACTCAAAAAGCTGCTCTTTGCTTAGATTCTCTCTTGGGTATGAATGGTCATGCCTTGCGACCTGTAATGAGTTGTTCACACAACCCATTTTAACTGCACCATTTCTGAGTATTTTGCTGTCTAACTTTCTATAACAATCTTTGTCAAAATGTTCACTGCATATCAAAATTGGGTGTTTTGTCTTCCAGATAACTTGTTCTTTCCACTCTTTTTGTATGTTATGAAAAATTTCTGAACACAAAAAATCTGTGTTTGCACAATTTTTTGACACTGCAATATCTCATTGTTAAAAAATATCAAAATCAACTGTCCACATGATACCCTACAAATAGATGTACTCTATGATACCAAGTCAGTCATAAGAAAAAAATCCCCTGTACAGTATAAACCTGGCCAGGCAGAATTAGCAGAGTTATGTCTGCTCTGTGACTGGACCTAAAGAGTAGGGAATGTCAAATTCAGTCTATCTAAACTACAAGTACTCAAACTAAGTAGAACAGGTGGTTGAAGTTGATTACAAATATCTTCAAAAGTTGGTCTGTTTTTTATTTCCTGATTCCAGCATTTTTTAATCATGCTGGACATACCAGGATAAATCAGAAGATCTTCTGGTTCTGGTAGAGATCCCATTCCTATTTGATACAATTTTGTCTGGGAAGGAAGGTTATCCAGGGGTAGTTTCAGAGTAAAGAGCTGGTACATAACAGATCCGAAAGCGAAAACATCTCCATGCTGAGACTTTTCCCATAAAGCCTTGTCGTCTGAACATATATTACGTACAATCTCAGGACTGCAGAACTGAAGATTGAGAGAGGACAATGAGTGGTCCAAGAGGGAAACCTTTACTGTTGTCTCTAGAAATATATTGTGAGAGCATAGTTTTCCATGAATAATGCTTCTATCGTGTAAGTATGAGAGAGCATTTGCAGTTTGTCTGAGTATATTCAGCTGTTCGGTTTTCTTCAGGTTAATACCCTGGAACATGATGCTCGTGTAGAGGGAGTTGGAGGTAATTAAACTTGTGATTATAGAAAATTTGGGAGGTTCCACACAAGCACCCATATACAAAACTATATTCTCGTGACGAGTATTTGTTAGTTTTTCTACATCAGAGAGCCATTCTCTAACATCATCGTCATTTTGAGGAATACTGCTATGGATATTGACACTCCAAACTTGACACTTGCCCTTAAAAATTTTACCTCCTCTGCCAGAATTAAGAAGATGGTGGAACTTTAAATCACCTGTCTTAAAACTAAAATCACCTAGTATAAGGGCTACCATCTCATGTGTGATTGGAAGGGAAGCCAAACTGCCTGAGATCAAGTTGTTGCTGTATAAAGAACTTGTGCTACTTAAATGTCTCAAATCACCTTTGATTGCTGACTGTTTACATTTCTCCCCATGGACAACACTTTCTTGTTTGGAAAGGGAATGTGAAGTTTCTCTATAGGTTTTGAACTCAAAAGCTTCAGATGATGTATCTTGTTTTCTTTGAAACACTGTGGTGTCTTCATTTAAAAACCTTTCGCTAGATCTTTGGCCTCTTTTGAAGAAAGGAAAGCAGTGTTCAATCAAAAATTGATAACTAGAACCATCTGATGACATAGTTGATGATGATTGAGGTGGTGTTGTTGTTACTACTTTATGAAAAGCATTACAGTGCTTCTCTTTAGGATATGTTTTTTTTTGGATATTTTTCTTTCTTAGAAAACCAACCACCCACTTTTTTAGGCCTGAAATTAACTATATGAGTAAAAGATTAGAAAGGTAATTTTACCAATATTTTTTAATAGATCATATTACACCCCAGTCTCAAAGTTGCATGATCCAAGTCAATAGCATATGTACTGTACATGCTTATAGTTGTACTATCCAGTCTGGAATACCCAGTGCAAAGTCGACTCAGCAGGTTTTATGCAACAAATGTTTTATCATAGTGATCACATTAAAGTTAAAACACTTGATGGGTTTAAACATCCTAGTATGCATCTAGAGATGTCAACGTTTTGATTTTTCTAGATTTTAGCTTTCGTTACGATAGTGTTCATCAAAAGTATTAACGTTTGAAACGTTACGTTGCACATTATGAAATTTTATGGCATAGAGTAACGTTACGTAATGAATTTTCTGCACTTGAATACCTTATACAACGTTAAGCTTTAGTAAATGTTTCGAAAAAATAGTAAGCTCCGTTACGCTTTTGCATTTCTCGTTTTAAAAAACTTTCCCAACGTTGCGTTAAAGCTAATGTAATAAAACCACAATTTTTTAACGTTCCACTTTCATGCAAGGTAAATATTTTAAGAGACCTTACGTTACACTTTCACTTGGTTTAAGATCTAAAAGATGACAAACGTTTTGCTTTAATAAAACGTCATTGGGGCATAGTTCTGTACGTTACAATGCATTTCAGTGCAAAGAATATTTTTTTATTCGTTACGTACCTTTTTAGAGAATGTGTAGAAGAATATGCATTATGCAATATAAAGATGTTATAATATTGTTATTTTTAACGATTTTTAAAATTCGTGAATGAAAGTTTTTAGCATTAGACTTTCAACTCAAAGTGTGTCTTTAAGGGACTAGAGACGTAATTTCAAGTGACCTTCCATTTATGGAGTGGCATGTCCAGTAGGGGTGATCAATATTGGAATAGAGCCAACCGCCCACCGGAAGTCGCTGCGTTTTCACCGTCAGGCCACAAAAAAAATTTATTTTAATTTTCATATTATACATCATTTTCTTGGAAATTCAATGCTAAATTCAAATTTGAAAAGCGTTTTAAAAAATTGAAAATTGAGTGAGTCACAGCTAAAAAACTCATCAAAAACATTAAAAAGTTATAAAACCGGAATTTAGTACCGTTATTTGGCCATAACTTCTTTAGATTTTAATATATTTAAAAATGGTTTTCGAATCTGAATTCAGCATGAAATTTCCAAGAAAATGATGTATCATATTTATTTTTTGAAATATTATTTTAGGCCTTATGGCGATATCTCCAATATTAAATTGTCAATTCGCAACCCTATGGAAAACACTCCTAAATTTCAAATCATCAATCAGATAAAAGTTTACACGTTATCATTTGGAATCGAGCATGGCCCTCTTTAAATGGAGGATCACTTGAAATTATCATCATGTATTTGACGAGCTTAAAAAATAGACATGTTTTGGGACACTTCATAAAATGAGTTAAAATTCGGCAAGGCAAACCACTTTTGCATGTGGAGTAGTGGTTCTAAATTATTTTAGATTAGCTTAGGGTTAATTTTTTCTTTTTTACGCAATGCAGACTGACCCTTTTCTTCTATCTAACAGAATTCATAGTTTAAAATATCTAAGGTCTACAACATTGGGTAGCAAAGATATAGGGATTAGAAATATAAGTTTGTGAACAACTCTATTCCTTTAGACATTCTTATCTAACAGAAGTCATAGCTTGAAATATCAAAAGTCTACAACACCAGCTTGCAAAGATGTAGAGATTAGAAAATTATAATTTGTGGCGAATTTTTAGTTCTTTTTGTGTTTTTTTATGTTACTTACAAAACAAAGTGAGTTAAAAAGCGGCATTAGCTTTAATTTACAGACCACAATGAAAATGTTTTCAGAGTTCATGTTTGGGGGTGAAAATATCAAATATAGTAAGACAAGTGCTATTTTTTTTTTAACACAAACAACGCGAAATAAAATTATTTAACATTTTTTTCTTTAAAAAAAATCGATTAAAAAATAATTTTTTTCCTATTCTAAAGTTTCATGAAAATCTATTGATGAATAAAACATAAAACGCAATTTCCAATTGATAAAATATTGTTGCATTTTAGTAAGTATCTACATTTCTAAATTTTTCAACCTAAACATGAACCACGCCAACTGAAGTTATGATTTCAAGTAGTCAAATAAATATGAAACCCAGTAATTGTGTTTGTTCACAGACCCGTTCCGCTTAAGTTGATTTTTTTTTGCAAATTTCTTAATGTCGTCTTCCTTTTCCAGAGTTTTAGTGGGTTTCATCAAACAAGATGTCCAAGAATCATTTATAAGATTTGAATTTTCACTAATAGCATGTTACAAAAAAACTCGTTTACACTTTAATTTTTTTTTTAAATTTACTAATACCTATATCTTTCCAACCCGATGGTTTAAACCTTGTATATTTCAATATTAATGGTCTACGACATCGAGTTGCAAAGATATATTAAATGAAAATTAGAGTTTTTGGCATAATCTCATTTTCTTTCAACTTGAAATGAAAAACCATAAGTCTTTGCTCTTATGATCATCAGTCGAATCTCTTACATTGATATATTAGAGACGTTTTGAAATGTTTTGATTGACAGAATTATTGTTACACTTTTAAAATTAAAACTCAGCCCTCATAGTCTAACGTTTTATGAAGAACATTTTCATTAGACATATATCTAACGTTAGACTAATCAATTTAGTATTCAGAGAAAAATTATGAAACATTATGATTTACAGACTTACATTTTTTAAATGTTATACGTTACATTATTGAAATTTATACTCTGTAAAAAAAACTTTCGTTTCCTGATTATTAAAATAAGAACCCATTTTTGGAATGTTGAATTTCATAACGTTTTCATAAACAGTAATGCATTTTTCAGTTATACAACGTTACACTTTTTATAAGTTGAACTTTGAAATAGAAATCCTTTCGTTACGATATTCAATCATATCACAATTCATTTTTCAAACGTTAGACTTTCAAGCTCCCCTTGGAAACAAAACATTTCTTTACGTTATGGTCAAAAAAGTTGTAGATATTAGAAAAATAACGTTACATTTCCACAAAACGCTAACGTTGGGGGTATATTCCTCTAACGGTAACGTTTAACGTTAACGTTAAGTATGAGCTCCTATAACGTGAACGTTTAACGTTCACGTTATATAGAATATATCCAAACGTTACACATTATTGTAACGTAACGTACAAAAACGTACATTTTACGTTACGTTACACTATCGTTGACATCTCTAATGCATACTGCCCACACCCATTTACCTCCAAAATGATGTCACAAAAAGGAATTGCGGCAATTGTTAATTTTTTAAAAAGTTTGTTAAGGGAACATTGTCCAGCCCCAATTAGAAATATACCTTGGGGATTTTTTATTTTCTTCTTTAAACTCCATACTGCAGATGGAATGTGGGGATCTGGTTTTACATCTTTTCAGTGGGCAGGGCCTGGGGGTTGAAGTAAACAAACACTTTATCTTATTCTTTTACATTTCCTTCTATTGAATTTGAATTTAAAGATGAATTTTTACTCAACAGTCCCAAAATAAAAATTGTTCTATGTCTAATTTAGAGCCTTCTATATGGCCCGCACTCTGCAATAAATCATCAAATTATTGATATATCTGAGGGAAACTATGGTTTTTCTTAGAAATTCAAAAACCCTGAGAGCAGCCACCCCTCCCTCCTTCGTCCATCCTGATCAACAGTTAATTGAGATTTGGAGAAAAAATGCAAAGAGAGAGAGATGTAAGAGTGACGGCAAAAGAGCAGATGTTAATCAATTTTATAAATCTTATATGTAAGAAAAACCGATAGAGGCCTTTTTATAACAAAACCAATATAGCAACCTTCAAAGTGATTTCACTCTTAAAAAGTAGTTGACAATTTTTTTGCAGTCATATTTTCAAATTTTAACTTATTATTTCCCATTTATCTCAAATCCCCTCCCCCCTTGTTGATAAACAACTATAGCTATTTGCATTATGGACTACAAAGTGAAGTAGTTTGAGGAGACTACTCTGGACTTCAGAGAATAATACAGAACTATACATTTTAATATAGTCCTTGAATTGGGACTACAGGGGACTACAAAGGGGAGCAGTCTCAGGAGACTACTTGCAGAACTTAAAGAGTTAATACATAACTATACAGAGAGGGATAAATTATATAGTCCTTGAGTTGGGACTACAGTGGACTACATACGGGACTATAACTATATAAAGAATAATAGCATTTTTATGGCAAGGGGGGTCAAAAATATTACAATATTACAATTTGGAGTAATGAGTAAGGAACATTAATATGCATTTGAATTATGCAAGTAAGATAGGAAATTCTCTGTCCGCTCATGTGGTCAAGAAACTATTTTTCATCAAAATATTATTATTATTAAAGATTTATTCACACACATTTAATATACATACACCCTCATATATTACATATTACATATTAATGGTATAGTTTAAATTTGTTTTGTTAGGAATGATATTAGATTTTAAAGAAATCTATAGTCA